AACCCCCATTTGCATTGTGGTGTTCATGATGTACGATGTGGTTTGACGTTCCTATTGTCTGATATTGTATGATGAGTGTATGGCGCTTTAATCCTCGCTCCCTTTTGTGCGGTCGCAACCATAACCATTCTGGGGTTGGAACCATCCTGTCTTGATGGGATTTTTTGGTGATCCGCAAGTGGTCAACTTTGGCCAATTAGTGTTTTACATATATGATATGATTTCATACCATAATCAAAAATCATAACAAACAAACAAATCAAATCAAATTGGTTCCATCATGAGCACAAAACACTGCTGAGCCGTAACCATCGACACCGTGTTGCCGTGCCTGGAAAAGGTACATGCATTTCACATCTCCAATTCGTCGCTACGCGGATGTCCTGGTCCATCGAAGGCAGTTTCCGGGAAACTTCAGGATCCAAAATTTGACAGTCGGTATTCTATATGGATCCTATGTATTCTCTACACATTTATCATCATTTATCTATGGTGATGCTGATTCATCTGATTCATTTTTCCGGGATCACCATACTGTATTTGTGATGCGCAAGTCTTGGAAATCAAGATTCTCAGCACCAGCAACTTCCTCGGAGAACTTTGGGTCCGGGTTTGCAGGTTGGCTCATATTCTCGACATTGACACCAATACTGAGAAGCCTATGGTGCAAAGTCATCAGGTGCGGCACACATCGAAAGCAGAGGATGCCCAATTCCATATGAAATGTTTTATAGACGGTTTCAAACATGCATCTTATATATATATTATACTATATTATATTATATAACGATATAGACACTTATGATTAATTTCAAACGTTATATCAGAAATTATATATAATCTAATATACATTTGAATATATTTTTTGATATGGTGTATTCATATTTATCCATTGTAGATGCTGACAGTCATTCAACAGCAACAACATTATCTGTAGAGCCTTGATGTGGCTGTTCCACGTCAGGCTTTTCTGGATACGCTGAAGAATGCCGCGCCATGCTCAGTCGTGGGTATGGATCAAAGTATTGAGGCTCAACAAGACCACAGATGGCTGGCAACTTCTAGTCTGGTTGGTGGTTTGGATTTTTTTAAGGACTTTCCATGACTTTCCATTCAGTTGGGATTTTTTTTCATCATCCCAACTGTTACTCACTCCATGATTTTTCAGAGGGGTAGGGCTCACCAAACCACCAAGCAGTAGTAGAACTATCCATTTTTTTTGACCCAGATGGAGACGTGGAAGCCCCGAAGTCAACGGAGTTGCAACGAGCTGGTTTTCGATCATCGATAGGGTTTCATGTTTTTACCCCCTATGAATTCCCCCCATAAATGTGTCCGAATATCATCTCTATATGCATAGATATATATATATATATAAAGACATATAGATAGATCGATAAGTAGATAGATAGACTATTAACATTGCCATGCTTGATTACCAGAGAGCATCAGGAACGCACACCTTCGGCCTGTTTTGTCCGTGGGCACGGGCACGTTCCAGGTCGATGTGTGCAATACGAAGAAACGCGATGCGCAAGATGACGGAGCCTTAACGTTCCGGGACGTCGATGGTTTCATTCTATTGGAATTGGTTGGAATTGTTCGGTATCATATAGAATACATCCATTATAATATGCCATATATCTGGGTAATTTTATTGGTTTACCATAGGAAAATGGTGATATTTAATGGTTAACAATGGTGAATAATGGGATGATAATGGGATATACCCTCTGGTTATTTAACATAGCCATGGTATAGATGGCCCATAGAAATAGATGGTTTACCACGTTTACCTTTTACAAATGGTGATTTTCCATGGCTATGTTAAATAACCAGATGCTATGTTTAATTGTCACTAATTATTGTCTTGAATTATATATAATTGATTATTATCGTGCGTCATAATTAATTATATAGTTAGTCAATTATCCTTCATATCCACATATTACCCATACATACATTATCCATACATGTATTGCCAGTACATATTCATTATCGATACCCTCCAGTAAACTAACATAGCGAACTGGAAAATCGGCATTTTAGTAGTTAAATCAACCATAGATGGGATTAATTGGGCAATTGTCCATAGCTATGTTAGTTTAGTCTTTCATTTTGTTATGACTGGTGGTTCAAAAGCGCCATCTGGCCCCGACTGAGGCGCAAATGGAGGAGATCCAAATTGTCCTCTCCGACTATGTGCACCGAAGTGGAGGAGAGATCGGTCCTGGTACAAGGATGGTCTAAAGGATCATCATCATATATCACAATATATGTATGTCATAATATATAGTTATGATATATTATGATATGTTATGATATTATATCTATATCTAATGTTTAAACCTGATAGGATGAATTTCCTATTCATACAAAATAAGTGATTAGGGATGATTAGGGAGGATTGGGATGACTAGGATGATTATCACATTAGGATGATGTTTGTAAAGTCTGGATACGTGTAGCTGTAGCTTTTTATTGAACGATATTTTTCCTTTTTTTCGTGACATTTCCTGATCAAAAGGCAAACAAACCATGGCAGGGTCCAACAATAGGGTCCTCCAGAAATATGACTGGAATGGCCACAGGTCAGGAAGTTGGTCAGGTCGTTTTCCGGGCTTCTTTCTGAAACAACGGCTTTTATAGCCACTGACAGCACCTAAAAAAATTCCGCAAATTGGAGTAAACTGGCGGAAAAATGGGAAACATGTTTCTCATATTGTTGGTTATACATGAATTTTATATAATTTTATTGTATACCAGTACAGCCCCATGAAAAATCCATTCTGGATGGTTTGACAAGCCCTTTTCTCTTGGCTAAAGCCAGCATGTTTAGCAGTTCTGAAGCTGTGAACTTCATCACCCAGGAATCGAAGTGGATGATGCAGTCATTACTCGAATCCTGGTGTCCGATGCCCGAGTAGACCATGAGAGTGCCTGGAGATGAACGTCAACAGCCATTATAGATACCCTGGTTCGTTTGTTACTATAGGGACTCAAAAACTACTGCAAAAACTAAGGTATATTGTACATACTACCTGAATCTACCTGATTTATTGAGGGATATGCCAATTCTACCAGGATTTACAGAAATGGATTCATGGGGATGGGCCTTGCTTCTGGACCATTGGTGGATTCACAGATCAAGTCTAAGCCAGGTAGCTACCCTCTGGTAGACAAACAGTTTGCGAACTGCAAAATCACCATTGTTCGTGGGTGAATCAACTATTTCTATAACCATTTTGACTAGCATAGCTGTGGCAAATCACCATGGGTAAATCAACGAACTACATCACCATTTTCAATAGCTATGTTGAATTACCAGAGGGTATACTTAGTCAGACGCACTGAATGTCGCCAGAATCAAGAACTGAACCCTGGACTGGATGGATAGATCAAGCGGCTCCGGAGTTTTCAGAACGTGCTGGCGCTCCAACCCAAACGCGCGCAGCAATGTTGTTGAAGTCTAATTTTGTTTAGCATCTGGTTATTTAACAATATTTAACAGTTCGCCATGGAAAATCCACCCATGTTTAAGAACGACAAACCATTTATTTCTATAGGCCATCTATATCTAATTTGTTTTAGCTTTTTTTTTCCCATGAGTCACCCTGCAAGACACCGAGCTTGTCCCATGACCCAGCTTGGCTCCTGAGCCCTGCATGCGCCCACTACGTTTTGTTTAGCAGATCCCTTCAGCAGAGGATAGCAATGAAGAATAAGGGCCATGTGCTGTTCACAATTGGAAGATCCCTATTTTAAATGGAGGTTTTAATGGGAAAATCATCCATAAATGGGCCATATTCCATGGCTATGTTAAATAACCAGAGGTTTTAATGGGAAAATCAACTATAGATTCTGTCAGAGATATGATATGACCCCGTACAAAGTTGATTCAAATTGCACACTTCCCGTACAAGTTTGCGGAATTAGGGCAGCCCTAAATACACTTATAATATTACATAAATATACTTATATTTATGTATTATGATATACCCTATTTTCAGACACACCCATTGCTTTTCATTGGTTTATTGCCTTTTCTTATTTGTTGATTCACAACAAAACAACTATCTTCACCACTACTTACCATCTTTTGTAGTTGGAGAGTCAATTTGGACCATCCTAAAATAGAGCCACGATTAATCAGTACTATAAAACCATGATGAATCATTATACCATTTGTTGATATAACCATCAGTATATAATCGTGCGTGTCTTTGTAAAAAAAACACAACATCATATCATATATATATATATTAACCATATCATCATACTTTTTTTTAACATATCATCACTATTTTCCCACCACCCATAGGATCCATGTGTATGCTATATATGGTAACATTTACCATCAATATATCCCAAATGTTAGCATATATACAATACATGGATCCTATGGGATCATAAATCATGATACCCAAACACAGCCACGATTTTCACAGCCACAAACCACGGCCGCGGTCGCAACATCCAAGCGTCGCAAGAGTTGCCTAGGCCGCAGAGCCGAGAGAGCCGAGAGACCAGCGAAAAGGTGAGGACCACAGTTCTTGGTTGTATATGATATTATATTATATATATATATATGTTTATATATATATACAGATACATATATGACATATATATATATATATATGCCATAGACTATATTATTAATGATATGTTTGAAAATGGATGGCTAATAGTACAGTATAAGTTACACTGTGCCATTAACAATCTATTAACCATCCATTTTCACCCCAAGTTGGACAAAACTGCTTGTGAGTCACGAGTCATTCGAGCGTTCTAGTCTAGTGTTCTAAAGCGGGAACTCCAGCGGAATTCAGGGCATGGTTCCATTGAAATTTGCAAAATGATTTCAACAGTTATTCTCATGGCATGTCCCCATTGGCCCTTGGGGTGTCCCCTGTTTGAAGCATCTTGAACCGTGCACATTTTTCCAGAGGGTTGCTGAATGCTGAAACATGCTGGCTCGCTGGCTCAAATTTCGATGCTCAAAGTCATAGTGTCATTTCGTGGTGACATCCAAAAGGTGCGAAACGATGTCGTCGTACTTTGGCCACTTGGACTCCTCAATCGATGATGACCTTGAAGAGAGGCCTGCCCCAGACTGGGATCATAGCACCGTTTAGACGAAGCCGGCGAAACCCAGGGGGGAAGCCAGCAACATGAGGGACTTCGGAAATCACAAATGTGGAGTAAACCACATGAGCCACGTTGGATATTTCCAGCAAAAAGGGGTCCTGCAGCATTTTGAAATCACGAATCTGGTGAATAGCTTCCAACTGTTTCATTTATGTTCCATCCCACAGCATGAAGAATATCATGCTCCCCACTTGCCTCATACTACGTTATATACCCCCAAAACGAAGAATCTTAACACTTTTAAAACATTTTAAAATCTCAAGTGATGTTGTTATTGTACGGAGGAATAGGGAATGGTGGCTCCACCAGCAAGCAATTTGACGCCTCGATTGGTTCAGGCTTCACAACTGGATTGAGAAGAGCCGGGCACCTGAGGACACTTCCGCTGACTCGCTGGAAGAACTTCATAAGAAGATAAAATGGGTGTCTGGGCGGTGATTTCAACTTATAACTTGTTGCTTCCATCATGTTTTTGGGATGTTCCATCCAAAAAATAGATAAACACATGTAAATTGTCATTTTTTGAAAGTGATTATAATCCTGCAAAATGCTGATTTGTTTTTGTGGAATGTATGGCATTCAGTCGCCACAAATTAGGATCAGTACATAATATGTTTATATATGTTTTACACAATGATTTTCCATCCCATCCCCACCCCAAAAAATGTATAGAAATGGATCAAGATGGACTAAGATGGCTGATGGTTTCGTGTTTCCATCACTTTCCGCCATCTTTTGCCACGAAATTTCAGTATTTCTGGAAATGGGGGATGCCCTAACCAATGGAGTTCAATACTAATATTGTGATATATTCTGATGGTCCAATTTTGGATGATTTGGGAGTATCCCAATTTTAAGAAACCCACAGGATGATGGGGGCCCCAGATGACTTTCCAACCATCGACGTGTTGCCACCAGGTTCGTAGCAGCATTTCGCATCATACTGCGCGGTTGGGTGGGCCGTGGTTGCCCCCCACCTTGCCTTTCCTATTGACATTTGATCCTCGCACAAGGCAGGGTTGCGTAGTGTCGGGGCATCTATGGCCCTGTATTGAGTAATTAATTATGGGAAAAAACACCTGTGGCTACTGTTTTTTTTTGTGATTCTTATTATTTAAAGCTGTTGAAGTAATTGATTGGTATTGGAAATGTGTGTAGGCTGCAAGTAGAGGGAATTCTATTTGTATGCTGCCGAGACCAATGTGGCACCCAGTTTTCCTATCACCAGCTACAACCATGGTTTCAACCATGAAATATATAGGTGTAGCCTCCAGATTTTCCCATCAAAGTTATCAATTCTTGGGGTTCTAACATGTTTGAACATGTTTAAACCAGGAAAGTTTCCTTCGGATGTTCCCATCAAGCCATGCCATTTCCCCAGGATTTTCGCCATTTCTTTTGCTAACCTCCTCTGCATCGACATCGACGAAAAGGACGGCTGCGACAAGACGACGGCGGCCGAAGTGGTGGAGCGCTACGCCAAAAGCCACGGCCTCACGTTTCGTCTGCTGGAAACAGATCGAGGGATGCACGCCTATTGCACTTCAAGGACCATGTCGACCCACCTGGGATCCATGGTGGCTCGATGTCCTTGGGGATGTCCTAGGTTTTGGCGAAAAATGGTCCAGAAATAGCAGCATTTCCCTAAATCCTTGTTGATTTATCCATCAAATACATTCAACCATAATTACCATAGTTGTTATTAACCAGCAAGAATGGGGGTATAATTGATACATAATGCTTAATGCTTGATTGGTTACTAAGTTCGGAGTTATGCCGTTATGCCAAAAAATGCAGTATAGAGTATAGAGTTTATATCTCTTAATGGGGATTTAGTATGATTTACTTATAAGATGTTATAAGTACTACTTGAATCTTGAACTTGGGTTTTAAGTTAGACAAATGGAATTGATGAATGATGGGGGTGGTCCATGGTTTCACTATCACTCCTCACCACATCGGGTATAGTCATGATCCGCTGGGAATCCACTGTGTGGATCATCGAACTGTCTGGTGGTTGATGGATGTTGATGGTTAAAAACCATGTGTTTAAACCCAAAAGCATGATTCGCATCCCCAGTGAAATTCCATGACTTACACAAATAGGAATCGGTATGAATCGGTGGTATAAACTAATACAAACGATCCTCCACTGGAGGTTTACCCACCAGTGATTCACCAGGGGATAGTTTATGATGGTTTAAACAATGGTTTATGATAGGTTATCATTCCACCCACTGGGTAAATCTCTGGTAAACTAACATAGCTATGGAAAATGGCCCATTTATAGATGGTTTACCTATTAAAAATGGTGATTTTCTATAGCTATGTTAGTCATTACCAGAGGGTATATCCCATTAAATCCCATTAAATCCCATTAAATCCCATTAAACCAGCATTTTCCTATGGTTTTCCTATGGTTTTCCTATGGTAAGTTCCTATTGATGCTTTATATAATCGCAGGGATTTACCAGAGATTGACCCACCAGGGGTGACCTGCCGTGACCTGTCCGCCAGGACGTTTGATCCACGAGAATCCGAAGCTCTGACGGCGGTTGATATGGCAACGGGTCCCGATTTACCCACAAGCATGGGATTTCGAACCAGAAGCCATGGTTGTGGTTGTGGTTGTGGTTGTTGTTGTTGTTGTTGTTGTTGTGATATATATATATATATGTAAATTGTACATATGTATATTTCCTCATCGACAATCGAGGTTCACCATCAAACATGAACATATGATTGATGCTTGATGACAACTTTACGAATTGATCCTTAGAGAGGTGCTGGACAAATCCCATATTGGATGGCCAGTGTCAGTTTGTGTTCGATCTTCAGCTGGTGATTCAGGAATTGTAGTTGTTGTCAAAACTGTTGTTTATATTCAAGATCCAAGATGAGCCATGGATCATCATTGTTCCATCTGAGGAAACCTGGGAGATGATGCGCAACTTGAAATGTGATCTTTACTACATTGCCTTCTCCACATTTCGTGGCTTTTCCTATCGCTTGAGTCCAAAGTTCTTCGATTCAGACGAGAATCTTGGAGAACACAAACTTTGTGGCACGGAATGTTTTTCGGCGTGGACGCCATTTCTTGTTGTTTCATGCTGGTGTAAAATGGACCAGAGTCATCGAGCAGCCTAGAGAACTCGGACTCAAAGGTGCTCCAAACACCGCTGTTGCAGATGGTTGGAATTTCGGCCTTCAAGGGACCTTCTTTGTTCTTAGAAGAATATAATAACATGTATATTATGTTATATCAATTGTTTGTGCTTAGCAAATCTAAATATAGTATGTTATATCAATAAGAATTGATTCCACAAAATAAATTTGAGGGTTTGACGATCTTGCAAAGGACGAGGGAATTGCAAGTCCAAAAGAAGAAGCAGGACTTTGACCATGAGTTCGTTCAAAGGGAGTGGTCCCAGAAGATTGTCGGACCTGAATCTGGTGAAGACCCGGCATTGGCAACCAGGCCTTCATGGGTCAAGTCGCATGATGATATGGCAAAATGTATTTCCAAACTGTGTTGAACCCAACAATGAACCAGGAATTTGTACATTTTGTACTTCCAAAATGTGTTGATCATGGTAAACACCACTTCAACAGAGTTGCTTCTGACTGAAAGGCATAGATTTTAGATGATTTTAGCTGAATGTTGCAACCCCATCTCGGCCTGATCTCAGAATCTCGGGGGGCTACCAGGGGGAGAATTTTTCACCCAGATTTCAAGTGGGCAATTTTTGATGCCAAAGTTTGTTTTAAAGGACCTATTGCAACATAGTAAAGTTAGTAAAGTTTGTTGCCCAGAGGGAACATATATTGATGTCTGATGTACATAGTGTGACCTGAACAATGATCCACACCCACACCCTGGAAAAAACACCCCATGCTGCCACTCCTTGGTGCCGCCATGCCAAGGTAAGCATGGTCAACTTGACTTTGGAGCTCACGCGCTACATCAAGAGCATTCCCAACCTTTGGCTTCAGGCGCACCACAACTTGGGATTTCACACAGGAAAAGGGAGCAATTAACCAACTATCATGGGGTTTGTAATCGGGGGGTGTAGCGAAATGTCCCATTGAAACGTTTCCTCACTATGACAATCATTACAGTAATTATTATTGGGGTTGTGATATCCCAAGAAACATCCAAAAAAGATCAGTGATGCTTGAAATCCTCAAACTTTAAGCCTTGCCAACCCATTCCAAGACCCTAAGACCACAGTTGGTTGACGATGATATACGCTTGTACTCAGTACTGGAGTAGAAGGGGGAGATAATTACTTATGATCGTCCTTCACGCCATCATGTGGGTTCCATATCAACCAAGCAGCGTGACAAAGTGACACCTGCAGGTTGTTTGAGCGCTGCTCATGAAAACGGACAGAAGTGATATGAAGTCGCGGGTAAGATGCAATATATACGTATACGTCAATTGACAGTCTCCTGGAATTGGTTTGAGGAAGATGTTGCACGAACCTCAGTGCCCATAGCAAAAGCTGAACTCAATCTATCAATCAAGAGTCCCAGAAGCATATTCTGGACCAAGTTGATCCGCAGTTAACCTTCATGGTACCAGATGTTCACATTGGTCAATGTCTCCATCCGTTGATGATAATAACTCCGTACTAAACAAATGGGTTCTGCATGGTTCTGCGGGGTATGTTTTTTATTCGGTGAAGGGATCGATGCTATGGTATACCCCGCAATGCCCTGAACCTGAGTTTCTTGCTTTTCACTCCGATTTCCTGAAGATGTTGTATTGATGTATATATATATATATATATGTATTGATCCCTCTTAGCCACTGGATGTCCAGTGCCAATTGCTGAGTTAACAACGGAAATCCTTGGCCCCAGGTATCATGGAACTTGTGCTGGGACTGGCTACTCCGCGACATTTGCAACTTTGCCAAGAATGAATACATGAAGCTCTTGGAACAGCCCGGCCCTTCAACCTTGGCATTGCATTTGTGGATGAAATCCTCCAACACGATGAATTTGCAGTACATGAATGAGCCTTGGATGCCTTGGCATCGCCTTTCGAGGGGAGAAAACATGAGAAATGACAGAAATGGCAGCCGTGGGCTGTTCGGGCTGTTGTGACCAAGGACCTGATGGACTGGCAGCCTTGCAAGAATCCCCAGCATCTACGGGCAAAGACTGCGGATGGCAAGGCACGATTTTTTTGGGCCAGCGACGGCCAGCGAGATGAGACTTGCTGATTTTCCCAAAGGAGTTCCCCTCAATATCACTAGTGCTGGCTAGACATGGCTCTTTGCAGTGAAGAAAACTGGTCAGTTTTTAGACATGTGATGCAACATGTTTGATCATCTGGGTATGGACTAAAATGTAGGGTCGAAGGGATCGTAATTTTGGGCACGTGTTTCATGGGTACCAATTGTGTTTATAATAAACATTTATCCGACAAGCAAGTGCCGTAGATGTTGAATTTATGCACCTTGATCTCAGCTTAAGATGTACCGCAAACTTGTGCACCCTTCGTTCCACGGAAATGGCATATAGAACAACCTATGTAAGGCGTTGTTGGAGTGGATGAGGAACAACATGTTTTCCTAAACCTGGACGGCAGTCAAAGTTCAAGAGATTCAAGAGACTTGGCCTTCCAGATAGGATCCAATGGCAGTGTGTTGCAAAAAACAGCTTGGGATCCAATGGTTATTCTTGAATCCAAGGACCAGTTTTTCAGATAGCCAAGTTTCACCCATGACCACACACACGCAGATGCTTTAAAAAAGCCGTTCGCCCGTGAGACCATCGTGATTTATCACCATGAAGCAACGGCGCGCCACCCAGAAGGCGGCTGGTATTTTGTACATGCAGAGAAGCACCGTGGTCCTTTCGAATCCCAGCGAGCAGCAAAGAATGCAGTTGCTGAGACGTTTCTCATGTTTGAATATTGTATGTTGTTGTTTATATCGCATAAATACTGTAGACACTCACAATAATACAATAATTTTCTGTGGACCAGCTCATACCCGACTATTTGATGGTTTCTGTGCATTCCTACTATCTGATGAAACTCTCTAGGGCTAGAGGGCCATCAGCACACACACACTACTTTTTAGGACTTGGTCTCAACAAAGTGACTGGTTGTGAAAGGCTGACAATAGCTTTTTGGATGCATTGTAGCTACACAATTTGTTTGTTTGTTTGTTTGTTTGTTTGTTTTTGGAGGATATTATATATATATAATATACATATGTATATATATATATATACTAAGGATGTTTTTGTTTTTCAGCCTGGGGCAGTTTTCCTTGCTATTTGCTGCATTTTGGAGCCAGAATTTCCCATTTGCATGCCCACTTGGCTTTTGGCTTTTGGCCTTTGGCTCTTGTTGGCTTTTTTTGGCTTTTGTTGGCTTTTGTTGGCTTTTGGCTTTGGTTTCACTTGGCTTTTGGCTGTTGGCTTCACTTGGCTTTGGCTTTTGTTGGGTTTTAGTATTGTAGTTTGCATATAACATTTCATATATATAATACATCGCATGTAAATTACATGTAAACTGCACAGAAACTACAGACATATAGTATATGAGCTTCTATGCATGTTGTTGTGAGAGGAATCGAAACCTGGTTTCAACAAGTGTCCTAACTACTTTTTGTTCCTAAAGTCCTTAAGACCGTATTTCAAGGCACTTGTTGAACCGTGTTCTCCAACTATATTTGCTTGAATTATGTTTCACAATGGTCGCATGGCAGTCAGAAGTTTACCTTCGAGTTTATACGCAAACTTGTGAGAAAAATCGCAACCATTTCAACATCAAGTGTCCTAACTAGCTCTTTTTTTATGTCTGAAAAAGGTATGTCAGGACACTTGTTGCATCTGCTCTCCAACTATATATATCTACGTGAGGTGTGAAACCCTAAAGAAACCCGGACCCAAAGTGAAATCACTGAAGACCATCAAGAAATCGATGAAAACAATCCAGACGTCGTTGGAAACTATGGGAAGATGGGGTGAACGCCAAAATGTTGCAAATACCATGCAAATTTACAATTTTAGCTCCCCAAATTGCGATTTTAGTTCCGACATGCCGCAAATAGCATGCAAATGAAATTGTTTAGTTCCAAAATGCGGCAAATGGCACGCAAATCAGAGATTTTAGCTCCAAAATGCAGCAACCAGAAAGGAAAACTGCCCCATACTGAAAAATAGTAATAATAAAAAAAGCAAACAACGGCCCAAAAAAATATCAACCCATTGTTTGTTTTGATGTGCCAATGATATATCCCACTAAAATCGGAAGTTTTAGCAGTGATCGGCAGACCACAAGGAGATGTATAGATAGATTCCTGAACTGTTTGTATTTCATTTGCGCTGTCCTGCGCTGACATCAGGTTCAGGGGCCAAATGCCAAAGAATGTTGAGATGGCTCTCTTGAAAGATCCAGGTGAATGCCCTCATTGGACTGTTTGGATGGTGCGCCATGTGGACTTGGAAGGGGCAAACCTATTGCGACTACTTTGGTGCTTGATGGGGTGCTTTCTTGTGCTGCTCATGGTTTCTCAGCGACGTTAGTGTTGCGCGCTTTTCCATGGCGGATGACCACTTGATCTTCCAAAAGCATCACGCGCAAATACTTGCAGCACACTGCAAAGTCAAAAGTGTGTGGGCCTGAAAATTACCGTGAAATTGGATCCATGTTGGGAAAATATGGAATAGTTTTTGACCAGCAAACATGCCATTGCTAGAAACGTCGGAGTTTAACTGGATCCAGTTTGCTATGAATGTAGTGCAAACATGTTGTTTTTTCTTTCCTCAGTTGTATGTGCACACACAGGCTCTGTGCATGGGGTTGTTGTGGCATCGACTCAGGTATCTCTAGTGGTCACTTCAAGACCCGAGCAGGGTGAATCAGTATGTGTGGATAGTCTCGTACCAGGAGGCGGTGTGGTCCATGTGCAGTTTGATGCTAACTTCCACACCAAGTACTGAACGGAATTGGTTGAGCACAACCCTTTTAAATAGGTTTTTTTCCAACATTGGATATTGTTCACTTCCAGATTTGATTACAGTTTACCGAGGTAGAATGGGGGATTGTGGGGAGTATATACATATGTATATATATAATATAAATGCTTGTACATTATTTTGTTATGATTTGATACCGATGTTCGACATGTTTTTGCATTTGAAGTTTTCTGTGTGGGGTTCTGGGGATGTTTGTTTTGGTGCTGACTTTCACTCTGCTTGTTTGGTTTCTATGATGTGGAATAATTTGTGTATCCATATTGGAGCTCTTTGGGTGGGTTATAACGGTTAAATGGTGCGAATTTCAGCTTCTGGATCAGCCTTATTGATTTTGGTGGTGACATTCGGCTTTTAAGGTACCCATCTCTGGAACCATTCTGAACTGATCAGTACTTGGACTGATAGCCACTTGCAACGGGGATCGCGGGGAGCGCTGTATATCCTCTTCAAGGACCATCCCCTGGGGATTTTGTCTCCAGCAGGCTCTACTTCGAAGATGAACTGATGGCCAAAACTCCTCACTTTTTGGAGTTTGCAAGCTTTGACTGTGTGTCAATAATTAGCTTTGACTGTGTGTCAATAATTAGATCCGGGGTCGCGACGCTGTGGCTGTTGCACAGATTGTCAACTTAAGTGTATTTCCAAATTGCCGGGAATCACCTGGCAAGTTGGAATGGTGGATTTGTAGGATGGCAGCACTCACTGAGCTGTTGAAGTTCGACTTTCCAATTGGAGGGGATGGGTGTAGATTGCATGGTGTAGTCTGACCTGCAGCATGCATTCACTCTACAACTTGGCAATGTGAGAAGGCCTGCGCAGCAGAAATTGGTAAACTGGATCAGCTTGGAGCCCACAAAGGTGGTGGTGTAAGTTGAATTTTGGGGGTGTATCCTCCAGTTTGCCATGGTTTTTGAGTGACGTTGTCTCAGTATTCCATCATCACCACCATCACCATCACCACCACCACCACCACCACCATCATCATCATCATCATCATCATCATTGGGTCCCATGTAAAATCGATGGTTGTTTACATGGACATGAATCAATAAGAAACCTTCATAGGGTCTCAGTTGCAGTACTCTCAACTGCTGAGGGGGTGACCTTTGGCCTGAAATGTACCTGATGTTTGAAAGTTAATCCTCAGTTTATCGCCATCTTGTCCAGTTTTATCATTATGTTATTCCCATGTTTGAAAGTTCTCCTCCGGCAATCAGACCCATTCCGATCCATTGAGTTCAATATTCGTTTGCACATGTTTCCATCAAATCATATAAAACCATACTAAAACCTCCATCTTTGAGAGGGATAATGACCTTTCTCAGGAGGGCCAACAACTCTCCTTCCGCGAACGCCAGGGCCTTGAAGGGTCTAGAAATGGGGTAAGGTAGTAAACCAATACTAAACCATCCCCGGAGATTAAATGAAATGGGTGGTATGAACCCTCCGAAATTGGAGTTTTATCATTAACATCACTGGGTTTACCACATGTTTTCTTGGATTCCCTCAACAATTGAAATTTTTAATGGGGAAAATTGTGTTCGACACCTCTGGATTTTGAGTTAGACCCCTTGACAAACCTTCAAGACGGATGATGGATCTTCAACTTGGATGGTTGCTTCTGCGGAAGTGACTTGGGAACTCTACGGAGTTCGATGGTTCACCTTACCACTTCCAATCTAGGCCTCCAGGGGCCCCACCGGATGAAGAATCTGAGGTGTGAGCAAACGAACCTTCAAAGAGGCTCGATGGACTCAAGTCTCATCCAGTTTCTTGGGTCACTAGTCAGACATATCCAACAAAACCCAACAACTGGTTGGTGGTTTCATTGTTTATTCCCATTGGGATGATGATCCCATTTCAAGGGTTTCAATTCACAAATCTGATTTTCATTGTTTATTTAACAGTTGTTTGCAGTTGAACCCACCATAATTGATGGAGAAAAACATGTTTTCCTGCAGAATGTGCAGTTGTTTTCCCAATCTAGACAAATTATGAGACGTCACTGCAAAGCCACGACATGAAAAACTATCCCCAAAAGGTTTTGCGGCTGGTTGGTAAATTATCGCAGTTTATTCAGATAAAATAAGACCTGAATTTTGTTAATCACACTAATTTATCCACCCTGGAAAAAGATCAATACGTTATGAAAATGTGCCTTGATAAATCAACTATGAACTATAAGTAAGCATTGCAGAATCCCGGTTTGCCTTAGGACTGCTTTTGCCTCTGTGATGAAATGTGGGTGGTGGTAATTGGTGCACAGCAATGGCTGATGTTTGCGATCCATGGATCCAATCGTGATCCACTCGGGCCGCAATTTCGCACCAATTTGGCTATGGATCCCAATTTCTAGTGACCCCAGCTTATTGGGTTATTAAAATTAGGTTGTAACCCGCGAAGTTATCAGTCGTTGGAAAACTGGAATATCATCTCAGACAAATCTCCCGGCTGCCATCCCGGTTTCACACTCTTCGGCATCTTTCTGGGGCTATTCAAAATATATCATCCCAAAACTTCAACGGACACCAAAAACACAGCCAGTGTTATCAAAATCCTTTGGAAGCGCGCCAGGATTATCTCATATTATCCTTAGTTTCGATGATGAAACTCATCTTTCATAGAATTGGATGATGGGAACATTTTAAGCGGAAAGCCCTGTGGTTTAGTAAAAACCCATGGGTTTCCGGTTACGATTTTCCCTTATGATTATCTTATAAAAATATGGTGGTAGATTCTATTTCCATGTTTAACCATGATTTTCCATTATTTGGTGGTAAAAACCATTGTTTTTCCATGTTTTTCCCAATGTTATTCAATCTTGTTTCACTTTCGCTAGGCTCTAGAGATCTATGTCCCCCTGGCGCAAACTTCCCGATCTCTCAGCCACTTGGACCCTTGCGGACGGGCGGGGCGTGTTGGGTTTCACCCGGGCTGGGTTTGTCCAGGAATGGGTGCTACGGGATGTCATTGGATTTAGCTTTCCAAAATGAGTTGACATATGGGTATGGATCAATACCTATTAATTAATACCATTTTTAGGGGGATGAACATCCATTTACCAGCTATTTTGATGTTCACCAGGGGTACAAGGTTTTGACACACTGCCATATGTGAACCTCAGTGTTACCATCTGGTTATTTAACATGGCCATGGAAGCCATGACCCATAGAAATAGATGATTTTCCCAGCTAGAAACCTCTGCCTCCATTTAGAAGGGGTTTTCCATTGCTATGTTAAATAACCAAATGGTCAAGGGATTTTGTTGTCGAAATTGGGATGTCATGTGTCCTGGGATCTTCAATGTGAAAACTGACTCTGCCGTGAGTAGTTTCGACTCAACAATTAGCTATTTTCTGGGTTATGTTAATCTGCGGATGATAAGGGGTACCACTATGCACCACTGACATTGGATGGGAATTATCATGATGAATGGGATACATAAGCTGTTGTTTAACGAACAATTCTAGGGATACAATGACAACATATATAATGGGTATATCATATGATGATTATTTTTACCCAACAGTGTGATTAATTTTGGGGTTTATTCACAAATGGAGTATACCTCCAACTTATGGTATTTTTCAAGAGGAACGTGATGACCCAATTGTTGAAGACAGCTCTGAGCAACCCAGGTTTGGAGGTCTTGAACTTGGAACCCTTAGAGTTTCCTGCGTCCGGTGGACCCAGCATCTTTAACGTGGCCAGAAGCTCGATCTGAGCAACACTTCGCAAGGACATCACCATGGATGAGCGTTATTGGGGGTAATTGTTATAGCTGGTTGGTGGTTTGGAACATTTTTTTATTTTTCCATATATTGGGAATAATAACCCCAACTGACTAATATTTTTCAGAGGGGTTCAAACCACCAACCCCGGATAGGATTTGACACAATTTGCCAAGATGTATACAGTACCCTCCAGGAATCAAAGCTGGCAATGGAATATCTGAACTGAATATCCCTTATTTATAGATGATTTTCCCATTCAAACCCTCCAGGAATCGTTCGGGGAGTTCATAAAACTGTTCTGCACCACAACTGAGGCCACCAGCTACGGAGAAGGTCACTTCAGGTGCAACAGAAACATGCCTCTCCGTAATCAAAGGTGGCTAGCGGCTAACTCAGTGGAGCTTTCTGGGAGATTCATCTGGAAGATGTTCCAGCTAGCCGTGTAGCCGTGTTGGATTTCCATTAAACTACCAGTTTTATTAAAGCATTCTGAATCATGATTAATCTCCATTTTTTCGGACCTAGGATGCTAGGGAATTTCCATTGCCAGATTTGATTGGGAATTAATATGAATTAATCTCCATCTAACATATATTAGCAAATTATAGGGAATTTTCATTGCCAGATTTGATTGCCAGATGGTAAATGAGTTTGTCTTAAAATGGAGCTAGACCAAGACTGCCAGTTTGAAGGGGAACACCATGATTGAACCATAGAAATTTGGGTGTAATATGGTGTAAAATATTTTCGGTCAAACCTAAATGGTTTGAAAAGCACAGTTTGTGTATGTCTAGCATCTTCTCACTATAGGTTGGTTCGAAGAACTGTTTCTGAACCTATACGGTACGGTTCACGGATCATCCAAGCTGTTCCACCGAAGCCAGCAATACCTCCCTTTCATGATTAATGGACATGGCATGCCAATGCCATGAAGTTGCAAACACTATGCAACCGATTGCCCTTCCTGTTGTTTTGACGGGTATTAGTTTTCTGATTTCATGATCATATTGCTCTACAATCATTGTAGTTAGTGTAAGCGAATGATGTGCTTTGGGTATGGGTTACATTAACCTGAATACATCCGAATATAATCTATTTTTGGACAAACAATCATACGCCAGCTATTTGGGAATGGTGTGCAAACCACCTATGTATGGTAAATTGAAGGGGATGGTTGATGATTGTTCTACCAACATTGATACCCTCTGGTAAACTAACATAACTATGGAAAATCACCATTTTTAATGGGTAAATCCACTATTTCTATGGCCATTTTCAATAGCTATGTTAAATTACCAGAGGGTACATTGCAATGTTCAACATCTAGGCTGGGATGAACATCACTACCACCGATTTGGTGGTGAAACACCTGTTTTTTTGTTCGTCCCGCAAGGAGAAGCATCAAAGAAGCGGGAGAAAAGCCGTGAGGCCGGAAGGTCATTGGCCTATATTTTAGTCAGTAAATTGAAGACACAGAAACAGGTGATATATGGTGATATGACATCAATGAAGATATAACATGAAAGTATGTGTAGATATGACATCCATAAAGATATAACTTTGTGTGTTGGTGGTTTGATAATGCTGTGAAGCAGCAACTTTTCGATACCGATCCCTTGCCATCCCTTGCCGCCGTTTCTCTGAGTGCCTGAGTGCGTAATTTTTCCGGTGATGTGGAGAGTCGTCATCACGTGTAGTAGATGGAAAGCATTGGAATTCTATTGTGCTTACACCTGTAGATCTTAGATGATCTTAGTAGATCTATAGTAGACATAAAGATATATAAATCATCTAGATGAGGTACATATCTGAAGTATTCTTTGACTCGATATTTGGCACCTGATGTTGCAAGAGTTAATGAGCCAGCGACGGGTTTGCATCCCCACTGCATGGTGAGGATTTGAGATTCCCCAGTATAGAACTTCTTGGTGATTTGAAGTATTTTGGTTATTCTCCATTCCAACAAATGGAATTTGACTTTACCATCTGGTTATTTAACATAGCCATGGAACATCCCTCATAAATGGAGGTTTTCATGGGAAAATAATCTATAAATGGGCCATTTTCCATGGCTTTGTTAAATAACCAGAGGGTATATT